CTGTCCAGAACCCTCTGTTGTGATCCTGGTCAGAGCAGTCAGTGGTGGTAGCCAGGCACCATCTAGCTATACTGGACTCAGTCCGGTGGAGGCCTTGGTAGCTGTGGACAATTAGTCCTTCGGACTAATCTTTTCCTTGTATCCTGTTGTTTTCACTCTCCCTTGCTCCCGAAGGGATGAGACCAGTGGAGTATCTTAGATGGCTGCTCACAGGCTTTTAAGACCCCAGACACTACTCACCAAGACAGAATGTAGAGCATTGTCTTTATAAGCTGTGTCATGCCAATTGAGCTGGATGTTCCCCAAGACCATGGTCCCCACAGCCCTCCGCCCAGCAATTCAGTCCCTCAGGGAGTTTGGATGTGTCTATGGAGTTTCCATGACCTTTCCTTGTACAAGTTGTGCTAGTTTCCCCTGTACTGTGTACTGTCTCACCCTTCACCCAAGATACCACTTATCTATTGCCTATTTAGTATTTCCCCCCCACCCCTCCCAACCCTGGTAACCAACAAAGATTGTTACATTTTGTGTGTGAACTTTTTCATGGGTTTTTACAATAGAGGTCTCATACAATATTTGTCCTTTTGTGATTTATTTCACTCAGCTTAATGTCCTCCAGTTTCATCCGTGTTATGAGATGGTTCACAGATTCACTGTTGTTCTCTCTCGTTGCATAGTACTCCACTGTGTGTATGTACCATAGTTTGTTTATCCATTCATCTGTTGATGGCCATCTAGGTTGTTTCCATCATTTTGCTACTGTGAACAATGCTGCCATGAACAGGCCTCCTCCTTTCTTAATCTACATACACTCCCTGGTCATCTTATCAGTTCTTACAGTTTCTATTACTCTACATTTCCTCACAACTCCAAAACTTTTATCTCTAGTCTACACCACTCTCCTGAGCTCTCGTCCCACATATCAACTGCCATATATCAACTGTTGTTGTTGGCGTTAGCTGTCATTTAGTTGACTTGGACTCATGGTGACCTTATATACAAAAGAATAAAACATTGCCCAGTCCGGCATCATCCTCATAATCGCCAGCCAGCATGTTTGGGTCCACCATTGTGTCTATTGTGATAATCCATCTTACTGTGGGTCTCCCATACCCTCACTGGCCCTCTACTTCATCAAATATTTTGTTCTCTTGTAGCAACTGATCTCTCCTGATGGCGTGTCCAAAGGAAGCAAGTCAGACAATGTTTGGTTGTGAGCCATAAGGTTTTCACTGGCAAATTTTTGGAAGTAGATTGCCAGGCCTTTCTTCCTGGTCTTAATCTGAAAGCTCTGCTAAAACCTGTTCACCATGGATGACCCTGCTGGTATCTGGAATACCAGCGGCACAGCTTCCAGCATCACAGTGGCACGCAAGCCATCACAGTACAGTAAATGGACAGACGGGTGGTACATATATCAACTTCTCCTCCCTAAACAAGAATTGAATAAAGCTTTCCAGAAAGATAAAGACTAAGACTTGTTCCCACACCTATTCCCTCAGTCGATTAAAACAAGTAAAAAATGTGGAAGTTATCCTTCCCATCTCCCTTACGCATTCTGTCCCACACATTAAATCAAGCAGCAAGTCCTATCACCGTACATCCTTAATATCTTAAAACTGTCCTCCAACACAGCAGATACCACTTTGTTTCGGGCCACCCAATGGCTGTCAGTTGAATGAAACAATTTCCTAAATTAGTCTCCCTGCTTCAGTGATCTCTTTTAACCAGGGTTTCTCCATCTTGGCACTTTTGACATTTTGGGCTAGATAATTCTTTGTTGTAGAAGGCTGTCCTGTACATTGTATAATGTTTAGCATCCCTGGCATCTACCCACTAAATGCTAGTAGCAACTCCCCACACCATCATATGACAATCAAAATGCCTCCAGCCATTGTCAAATGTTCCCTGGGGGGGGCAAAATCACTCCCAGTTGAGATCTACTACTTTATATCCACAGTACAGCCTGACGAATTTTTTTTTCTAAAATACAAATCAGATCCATCACTCTCTTGTTTAAAAGTCCCACAATGGCTTTCCACTGTTCCCAGGAAAAATTCCAAGCTTCTTAATCTGGCTAATAACGACCCACATGGCTTGGCCCCTGCCAACTCTCTGACCTCAACTCTGGATCCATCCAACTCAATTAAGGCTACTGAAGAAACGCACATAACCACCCAAGTGATTCCACTACGAACTCCTGCATGCTCTGCTTCCTGCCTACCTTTCTAGCCTCCTCTCTCACCAGTCATCCTAACTGCCTGTTCTCTTTGAAATTCTCTCAGTGCTATTATATGTTCCCTTTTGTATCCAAATTATGGCCCATGCTGCTTCTGATACCTGTGATGCCCTGCCCTTCTCCTACCTTTGTATAGCTTAAATGACACCTGCTTCAGGAAGTACCCCTTGATACTCTCCCTTCTACAACACACACGCTACACTTTGGTCTTCAAGGGTGGACAGATATCTTCACTTTGTGCTCCCACGATGCCCTAGCTCACCCTTACATTCCTGTGTTACAATGGCCTGACTCCTTGTCAAAGCTATGGTCCTGTACACTGTTATATCCCCAGCGTCCAGAAGAGTGCCTGTCACAAACTAGGGGCTAAAACATATTTGTTCGAAGGGAGGAAAGCAGGAAAGGCCCAGACAATGTGTAAACTGATGCCCTGTGGACTCACGTGGGCCTGACTGCTTATATGGTAAGTCACAGGTTACAAAACAATGAGATTGACTAGGTTACTTTAGTTCTCAGGCAGATGTCAAAATGACAGGCTGCCCTTACAATGAGATTCAGCATTTTCTACTGTCATAGCAGGTAGCAGATTCATTTACCATCACAGATTTCTATAGGCTGACATTGCATAAAACTGTGACAGGCATCACTGAAATAAAATCATTTCCAATGAAATTCTTAGTATAAAATGTTTTGGTTTTCACTGGTACATTTTTATCACTAGGATTTAATTGAGGATTCAAATTATGAGGAAGACTAATATGAACTCCATTTCAGAGGCCAGATTAAGAATAATGAATTAAATTTTCATCACATCATTTCAGAAAAACATACTTTATTCACTGTAAGAATAAAATAAAAGGAGGAGAAGCCTTTATCCTCCCTTACAAGAGAATCACCTAAACAAGAACTGAATAAAGCCTTCTAAACTCAGTTATTGTGAGAAGCGTTGGTTTGACCAAAAGACTCAAGACTATAAAGAACACAAGCTGAAAGCCCCTTATTTTACCATAAACTATTGCAAGACTCAAAACTGGAATGTACTCAGGCCACATTAACTAACTTACCAGAGCATGAAAGAATTTCATGTACCATTACCAGGCAAAAGTCGGCCTAATTTTAAGTCTATGAGAATGAAATGAGTTAAGGTCTGTGATTTGCTTTAAAATACTTCAACAACAATAATAATAACAAAAAAAAAAAAAAAAAAGGGATAGATGATTTGTGGTAAATCTTGATAAATGTTCAATCAGGTACATGTGGGTTCATTATATTCAACATTCTACTTTTGTATCTATTTGAAATTTTTCTGAATTAAAAAAATTAAAAGTCAGCCTATATTAAAAAATACTAGAAATCAATCTCATCCAAAAATATCAATAAAAAATATTTCAGAGAACCATTCATTTTAAGTAATAGTTTTTATAAATAAAAAATACAGTACAGCAGATTAATTTGGGCAATTCTTTGAAGTTTTCTGTAATGGGCTTTATTTTTAGGTTACGGGCACACTGAGCAATCTTATGGGCCATTTCCAACTTAAATCGAGTGATAAATTGAGATTTTAAATCTTAAAACGTAAACCCTGGGCTAAGCAGAAAATCTGAAGGTAAGTTTTGAAGTGTCCTTCAAGACAAAACAAGCAAATGTCTACAGGCAAGGTAGTGTGATTATTAAAAAATTACTCAACAATGTTTTCAGAAACTTCTAATTCAACATAAAAGGCTGAATTAACAAAGTCATTTCAACCAAACTAAGGAGCTCCCCAGATTCCCTTGTAATGCCAACGTGATCTTTAAGGTTGTGTGTCAACTTGGCTGGGCCATGATTCTTAGTGGTTTGGCAGTTATGATGTAGTTTGGCAGTCATATAATGATGTAATCACCTCCATGATGAGATCTGCTGTGAGTAGCCAATCAGTTGAAAGGGAGTTTCCTTGGGAGTGTGGTCTGCATCCAATATAGGTAGACTTTCTGGTAAGGCTCACGGGCTTTTGCTCACTCTGGATCCTGCAGCTAGCTCCTATTCATCTGACCTCCAGTTCTTAGGACTTGAGCTAACAGCTTACCTGCTGATCTTGGGATCCATCAGCCTCGACAGTCTCTGAGCCAGCAGCCTGCCAGCTCACCTGCCAATCGTGGGATATGTCAGCCTCTGCAGCCTGTGAGCCAGAGACCTGTTGTCTGACCTGTTGATCTTGGGTTCACCAGCCCCTGCAGCTATGTGAGTCAGGAGACATCTCCAGCCTCACCCATGGACTTGGGACTTTCCAGCCTCTACAAATGCATAAGCCATTTCCTTGATATAAATCTCTCTCTCTCTCGATATATATATATATATATATATATATATATATATATATATATATATATACACATTTATACAGATGCTTCACTGGTTTTGCTTCTCTAGAGAACTCAGCCTAAGAGCCAATTTCAGCCAAGATGCACAGCTCTAAACCTTGAAAGGAGAGAGAGCTTCTGGGAGTGCTGAACAGCCTTTTACCTCTAACATCGCATTACAGTAATACATGCAAAATCAACCACATTTCCCTTATAGAGCAGCACTCCTCTAGTCCCTAAGAATGCTAAACAAGACGGCTGAGAGACCAGGTTAAAATATAGCAAGAGAAAAGCACAGCTCATTTAAACAGTTCACATGGCAACACTAAAGATTAATAAAATTAACATTTGTGCTTAACTGTTTTTAAGATTACAAAAGTCTTAGAGGCCAAAGAAAGGATTCAGACTAGAAATTGTCTCACCTGCAAAAGAATTCCCACAAGTCTAGGTTCTGAATTCTCTGAATTCTTTTAATTCGGTTGCGATCCATTGTTTTCCCAAAGAGACTAGCAACTTCATTGTATTCATGTGTTTGACTGTGCAAAGGAATAAGCTGGAAAAAGAAGTTTGCATGATTTCATTGGGGTCCTTTTCCAATCTCTTTCAGAGTATACGCTTAGGTCAGTTCTGCTCTTACCTGATACGGTACTTCAGTATTCACATTCTCCCAGTGTGGTGGCATGGGAATAGCCTCATTTTCACAGATATAACTTTAAAAAGCAAAAGACAAAACATTAGAAGCTGACTGCAATTACTGTCCATGATTAGTCTTTTCTCCAAAACAGAATTTTCATGTTTGGGTATAGGGACAAATACAACTAATTGTAGCCTTTCACTTCATTTAAAAATATTTATTGAATGTATATTGTGTGCTACTTTTTAAGTGCTGAACTGGAACCTTTGATGGAAAACACCCAACCCTACATACCATCAAAATGTCAAAAACAGTTGTTTGTGTTGTTTTTCTGAAACTTCCAGAACTTCTTTAAAATGTAAGGAAGATTTTATATAAAAAATGAAGGGAATTTCCAAGAAGAAAATCAAATTCTTGATTAAAAAAACCTTTCGACATATTATACTGCCTACTGAACCAAAAAAAAAGAAATCCAAACCCATCAGCACTATATTCAATGTCCTCCATGATCCAACTCAAACCTAAACTTTTCTTTATCAGCCCCTATTCCCCTGGTGCAGCGGTTAAGAACTACAGAGACCTACGGCTGTTAACCGAGAGGTTGGGCAGTTCAAATCCACCAGGAGCTCCTTGGAAACCCTATGGGGCAGTTCTACTCTGTTCTATAGGGTCGCTATGAGTCAGAATTTACCATGTCTAAGCCACTGGATGTGAATATAGACAAAGACAGTAATGTTCAGGGTTTAATGGCAAAAGCTGAAATTGACACACAAATCTTCTCTGTTATTGGAGGTTACTGGAAGAAATTCATAAATTTCAAGCTTATACTTGATTTAGCTTACTTTTTTAAAACTTATTTTAATTTCTGAAAAGATAATACAGTCAGAAATTAATACGTATAAAAAAGTATACAGTGAGAAGTGTCCCTTCCACTCTAGTCTGTGAGCTGTCCAATTCTTACTGCCTTGCCCCAACCCCAGGTAATCACTGTCTTTAGTCTCTTGGGTATTCTTCTAGAACTTCTTTAGGTAAATACAAGCCTTTTTTTTTTTTCCCTTCATCTTAATGGTAACAGAAAACATACATTTTCTGCACTCGGCTTTTTTCACTTAATATATTTTTAGCTATCTCAGTACATAAAGAGTGTCCTTATTTCCAGTCTCGACAATACAGCCTGGCACGTAATAGACAATAAATACTGGATGAATGAATGAGTGCATTCATAGATGTACAGGATTCCACTGTATGGATATACCATAATTTATTTAACCAGTCCTCTACTGATGATATTTAGCTTATCTTGAGCTCTTCGATACTGTATTAAGAATGCTTCAAACAACAAGTTTGTCCGTTTGTCATTTTACATATACATGAGTCTACCTGTAGGATAACCTCTTAGAAATGGAATTTCTGTGTCAAAGATTATATTTATTCACAATTTTGACAGATACTGCCCAAATGACCTCTATGGAGGTTATACTCATTGACATTCCCACTAGAAATGTAAAGAATGCCAATTTTCCAACAACCTCTCAAGGTTTGTTACTAAGCTTTTGAATTTCTGTCAATCGGTTAAAAAAAAAAAAAGTCAGGTATTGTTTTGGATTGAATTGTGTCCCCAAAAATATGTGCTGTAAATCCTAATCTCCACGCTTGGGGTTATAATTCCATTTGGGAATGGGTTGCCTTTGTTTTATGTTAATGATACAGGATTAATATAGTGTGTGTCTTGAGTCAATCTCTTTTGAGATATATAAACAAGCAAGGGGAAGCAGCAGAGATAGGGTAAAATACATGCCAAGACACATGGAGATCTCCAAGGAACCAGGAAGTAGAAGCTGAAGAGACAAGGACCTTCCTCCAGAGCCAACAGAAAGTCTTTCCCTAGAGCTGGCACTCTGAATTCAGACTTCTAGCCTCTAAAACTGCGAGAAAATAAATTTGTTTGTTAAAGCCATCCACTTGTGGTATTCCTGTTACAGTAGCACTAGATAACTAAGAGAATTTTATACCAGGAAGTGTGGGTGCTGCTCTCACAGATACCTAAAACGTGCAAGCGGTTTTAGAATTGGGTAATGGGTAGAGGCTGGAAGAGTTTTAAGGTACCTAACAGTGAAAGCCTAGATTGCTTTGAAGGGACTGTTGGTAGAAATGGACAACAAAGGCAGTTCTGGCAAGGGCTCAGAAGAAAGTGAGGAGAACCTTAGAGAAAGTCTCTATCATCTTAGAGAATACATATGGCACCAGCAACAGAATGTTGCTAGAAATGTGGATGTTAAGTGTGCTTCTGGTGAGGCTTCAAAAGAAAACGATGAGCACGTGATTGGACAATAGAGAAAGTGTGATGCTTTTTATGCAGTGGCAAAGAACTTGTCTGAATCATGTTCAAATGTCTGGTGGAAGGCAGAACTTGCAAGTAATGAACTTGGACATCTGGTTGATGAGATTTCTAAGCAAAATCTTAAAGGCGCCGCATGATTTCTCCTGGTCACTTTTAGTAAAATGTGAGAGGAAAGAGATGGACTTAAAAATGAACTGTGCAAAATGAAAACGGAATTTAAAGATCTGGAAAATTCTGTTGTACAAACTAAGGTCACGTGTCCTAGAATGTTTACCAAGGATGTGGTAATACAAGCTTTTGTTAAAGAGATTAAGCCTGTGACTGATGGATCTGACCAATTACCACAGCAGAAAATCCATCAGCTTAGACTAAAGGGGAAAGAGAAAAAATGAAAGGCAAGAATGCTGTCTGCCTCTTGGAATTCTACAGGCAGGAAACAGGCCAAAGGAGCTGCTCTGCTGTCCTCCAAGAAAAGAAGAGGATCATCCCTGGAGCAATCTGGAGATCAGCAGAAGTGTTGGAAGGAGCATGGGAAGCAGGGCCTTCTCGGTTTCCAAAGGTGGGGGCCGCGGTCTCCTAGATCTCAAAGGTTGGGGTTGCCACTCAGTCTAGGAAAATGGGGTCGCCTAAAGCCCAGGGAGCAGAGTTGCCGTCCCAAGAGGGCCTGGAAGGTGGAGCTGCAGAATCCATAGGGTGTGGCCAACATTCACAGTCTGGAGGGAGGGGCTGTTGCCGAGATGGTCTCAGACAACAGAGGATCGTTTTCAAGCCTTGAGAGCTAATGTAAATTGTTCTGCTGGGTTTTGGACTTGCTTGGTGCCTGTTATCCCTTCTTTCCTTCCAATTTCTCCCATTTCTAATGGAAATGTCTACCTTGTACCTGTTCTACCATTGTACTTTGGAAGTAGATAACTTGTATTCTAGATTTCACAGGTTAACAGATGAAGAGGATTTTTGCCCCAGGATGGAATTTGGACTTGGAGTTGATTTAAGACTTGTGGGATGATGTGACAGGGTGAATGTGCTTTGCATGTGACAAGGACTTGAGTTTTACAGGGGGGCAAAGGGTGAACGTTATGGATTGAATTGTGTTCCCCAAAAATATGTGTTGTAAATCCTAACCTCTATGCCTATGGTTATAATCCCATTTGGGAATGAGTTGTCTTTGCTATGTTAATGATACAGAATTAGTACAGGGTGTATCTTGAGTCAATCTCTTTGGAGATATAAAAAAGATTAAACACTCAAGGAAAAGGAGCAGAGATGGGATAAGATAAATGCCAAGACACATGGAGATCTCCAAGGAACCAGGAAACAAGCTTAAGAGACAAGGACCTTTCTCCAGAGCCAATAGAGAGAGAAAGGCTTCCCCTAGATCCAGCACTCTGAATTTAGACTTCTAGACTCCTAAGCTGTGAGAAAAAAAATTTCTGTTTGTTAAAGCCATCTACTTGTGGTATTTCTGTTATAGCAGCACTAGATAACTAAGACAGGTGTTAACTTGTATTTATCTTATTATAGGTGAGGTTGTATAAACTGTCCAAATTCTTCACCTATTTTTCTGATGGGCTGATTCCTAGGAGTACTTTATCTACTAGGGAGATTAGCTCTTTCACTGTGATAATGAGTAAAAACATTTTCTCCAGTCTTTTTTTTTTCTTTTCCTACTGTACTTGAAGTATCATTTTGCTGTGCAAAAGTTGTTTTTTAATGTAGCCCAGAACCTTCACTAATCGTAAATTCTTTGTCAACAGGAAGCATGTCTGTCTTATTTGCCATGCATAGAATAAATGCTCAGTACACTCCTGCAATAAACAAATGGACTTCTTCACTCAACTGTATTCTACCTGTTTCTCCACTTTTGTTATCTTGCTTATTATCCTTCATTTTGGTTAATTCTGTCCCTCCCCCATCTTGTTCTATGGTTTGTACAGTCCATGACAGAACAAAGCACTTGAACCAATTATGTGCTTCTTCCCCCCATTAATATATGTCGTTGTTGTTAGGTGCCATCGAATGAGTTCTGACTCACAGCAACCCTATGTACAACAGAACGAAACACTTCCTGGTCTGGTGCCATCCTCATAATCTTTGCTATGTTTGACCTATGGCTGCAGCCACTGCGTCAATCCATCTCATTGAGGGTCTTCCTCTTTTTTGATGACCATCTACTTTACCAAGCATGACGTCCTTCTCCAGGGACTGGTCCCTCCTTATCACATGTCCAAAGTACATGAGATGAAGTCTCGCCATCATTGCTTCTAAGGAGCATTCTGGCTGTACTTACTCCAAGACAGATTTGTTCATTCTTCTGGCAGTCCATGGTATATTTAATATCCTCCGCCAATACCATAATTGAAATGTATCAATTCTTCCGTTTTCCTTATTCATTGTTCAGTGTTTGCATGCATATGAGGCGACTGAAAATACCATGGCTTGGGTCAGGCACACCTTAGTTCTGAAAGTGACATCCCTGCTTTTCAATACTTTTTTAAAGAGGTCTTTTGCAGCAGATTTGCCCAACACAATATGTCATTTGCTTTCTTGACTGCTCCTTCCATAGGTGTTGACTGTGGATTCAAGTAAAATGAAATCCTTGACAACTTCAATATGTTCTCCATTTATCATGATGTTGCTTACTGGTCCAGTTGTGAGAATTTCTGTTTTATGTTGAGGTGTAATCCATACTGAGGCTGTGGTCTTTGCTTCAAGTCCTCTTCACTTTTAGCAAGCAAGGTTATGTCATCTGCGTATCACAAGTTGTTAATGATTCTTCTTCCAATCCTGATGCCCCATTCTTCTTCATATAGTCCAGCTTCTCAGATTGTTTGCTCAGCATACAGACTGAATAAATACAGTGAAAGGACACAACCCTGATGCACACTTTTCCTGACTTTGAACCACCCAGTATCACCCTTGTTCTGTTGGAACGACTGCCTCTTGAACTACGTATAGGTTCCTTATGAGCACAATTAAGTGTTCTGGAATTCTCATTATTTGAAAAGTTATCCATAATTTGTTTTGATCCACACAGTCAAATGCCTTTGCATAGTCAATAAAACACAAGTAAGCATCTTTCTCGTATTCTCTGCTTTCAGCCAAGATCCATCTGATATCAGCAATGATATCCCTTCATTCCACATCCTCTTCTGAACCTGGCTTGAACTTCTGATGGTCCCCTGACGATGTACTGCTGCAACTGCTTTTGAATTACCTTCAGCAAAATTTTACTTGCATGTGATATTAATGATACTGTTTGATAAATTCCGCATTCTGTCGGATCACTTTTCTTTGGAATGGGCATGAATATGGATCTCTTTCAGTCGGCTGGCCAGGTAGCTGTCTTCCAAATTTCTTGACATAGGCATGTGAGCACCTCCAGCACTGCATCCATTTGCTGAAACATCTCAACTGGTATTCTGTCAATTCCTGGAGCTCTGTTTTTCGCCAGTGTCTTCAGTGTAGCTTGGACTTCTTCCTTCAGTACCATTGGCTCTTGGTCATATGCTACTTCCTGAAATGGTTCAATGTTGATCAATTCTTTTTGGTACAGTGACTCTTGTGTATTCCTTCCATCTTCTTTTGATGTTTCCTGTGCCATTCAATATTTTCTCCATAGAATCCTTCAATATTGCAACTCAAGATTTGAATTTTTTATTCTTTCAGCTTGAGAAATGTCAAGCTTCCCTTTTGGTTTTCTAACTACAGGTCTTTGCACATTTCACCATAATACTTTACTTTGTCTTCTCAAGTTGCACTTTGAAATCTTCTGTTCAGCTCTTTCACTTCACCATTTCTTCCCTTCACTTTAGCTACTCTACATTCAAGAGCAAGCTTCAGAGTCTCATCTGACATCCATTTTGGTTCGTTCTTTCCTTTTTTTAATGACTTTTTGCTGTCTTCATGTATGATGTCCTTGATGTCATTCTACAACTCGTCTGGTCTTCAGTCATTTGTGTTCAATGTGTCAAATCTATTCTTGAGATGAACGCTAATTCAGGTGGGATATACTCAAGGTCGTACTTTGGCTCTCGTGGACTTGCTCTAATTTTCTTCAGCTTCAACTTGAACTTGCATATGAGCAACCGGTGGTTCTTTTCCGAAGTCAGCCCCTGGCCTCGTTCTGACTGATGATACTGAGCTTCTCCATCGTCTCTTTCCACAGATGTATTTGATTCGGTTCCTATGTATTTCATTTGGTGAGGTCCATGTGTACAGTCACCGTTTATGTTGTTGAAAAAACGTATTTGCAATGAGGAAGTCGTTCGTCTTGCAAAATTCTATCATGTGATCTCCTGTGTTGTTTCTATCATCAAGGCCATACTTTCCAGCTATTGACCCTTCTTCGTTATCATCTTCGATATTCTAATCACCAGTAATCATCAATGCATTGTGATTACGTGTTTGATCAATCTCAGACAGCAGAATGTGATAAAAATCTTCAATTTCCTCGCCCTTGGCATTAGCGGTTGATGCGTAAATTTGAATAACAGACGTATTAACTGGTCTTCCTTGCAGGTGTATGAATATTATCCTATCACCGACAGTACTGTACTTCAGGACAGACCTTGAAATATTCTTTTGACAGTGACTGTAACGCCATTCCTCTTCAATTTGTCATTCCTGACACAGCAGACTACATGACTGCCTGATTCAAAATGGCCAATACCAATCCATTTCAGCTCACTAATGCCTAGGATATCTATCTTTATGTGTTACATTTCATTTTTGACGACTTCCAATGTCCCTAGATTCATACTTTGTACATTTCACATTCCAATTATTAATGGATGTTTACAGCTGTTTCTTCTCATTTTGAGTAGTGCCACATCAGCAAATGAAGGACCCGAAAGATTGACTCCATCCACTTCATTAAGACTGACTTTACTTTGAGGAGGGAGCTCTTCCCCAGTCATCTTTTGAGTGCCTTCCAACCTGAGGGGCTCATCTTCCAGCACTATACCACACATTGTTCCACTGCTATTCACAGGGTTTTCACTGCCCAATTTTTTCTGAAGTAGACTGTCACATCCTTCTTCCTAGTCTGTCTTAGTCTGGAAGTTCCGCTGAAACCTGTCCACCATGGCTGGCCCTGCTGGTATTTGAAAATTGGTGGCATAGCTTCCAGTATCACAGTAACACGCAAGCCGCCACAGTACAACAAACTGACAGACATGTGGGACCAATGTATACCAGATATAATAACACACAATTACAATAATATTTTCCATTCAGATGTCACATTTTTTTCTCCCAGATTACATATTCTTTGAAGATAAGTAATTCCTTTATTATATTCCTTGTACTTTAAGAACAAGGATATGATATAGCTGGTAAGGAAATAATATTCCCCCATATCTCACAGAAATGCTACAACATTCATAATATAAGTATTTGAATAACTTTTAAATCATGATACTAAAATATAAATCAAAACAAACTGTAAGAAACTTAAAATTTTTCTTTCTTTACTCTAATTCTTTCATATTTCCCTGGAAGTAGCAAATGAGTATTCCCAACAATTCACATGTTAGCATTTGTTTGTTTCATTTTAAATTATTTGAGCAAAAGGAATTTCAATCCGTGCTTGCGGAATCATTTCAGTTAATAGGAGACAAGGTCTTCCCTTCATTTCCATTCACAGGAAAAATAAATACTTATTCTCTCCTGGAATTTACTTTCTTTGCATACTTTCTCTTTTCATAGCCAGAGAGCAAAAAGGAAAATGTGCAATGCAGATCCAGGGAACAAGAAGCTGTGCTATTGTTATATTGTGCTGCCATCTTCCTCAGGACTTCTTTAGTCACTTTAGGCTTGAAATCACTTCTAGGAGTTGCCCAGTGGGGATCAACGGAGGTGGGGACAAGGTAGGAAGCTGCCTTGGATTTATGGCCCAAATAAATGGATGGTTCTTCAATAATTCAGACTTATCTCAGTAAGTTATTTTAAGGATTTATAGCATGGACCATAAGGCAATTTGTTACAAACATGCAAAGTGCTCTAAAGAATCGAACAATATAAATATACAAAGGACGATGCAAAAAAAAAAAAAAACAGGAAAGGAAAGCACTGACAGAAAACAATGACAGTGCTATTTCTCAATAAATAAGAGATTCAATATTTAAAAGATCAATATTAAGATTATTAAATAACCTACCAAAGACTTTCAGTTTATTTCTTTTTCTGTCAAATACTAAGGGAAGGGAGAGGAAAAGAAAACCATACACTCTCCAAATCCCACTCTTTCTACCCCTATTCTCTTTACAATACCTGAAAGCACTGATAGAAAAGGGGGCTCTTTTTACTAATCGCTGTTTTCCAGTGGTGAGATTCACTTGCTTCATTTCTGTATACAAAGACAAAGATATTAGATAAGTCATAGAAACATACTGTGCTATAAACTGTCATGAAGATTTTCAGCAACACCACATGATAATCAGGAGTCATGGTGCTTTGGGAGTAGCTGACAAGCAGAGTATATTAAGGATACGTTACCATGTATCTATTTATCACGTCATAAAAGTGTCAAGGGAGCACAGCTTCATTGCTCCATCTCAGCTCACACATAAAGATGCTAATGTCACACACTGCTCAGTATGCAGGGTGTATTCGCCTCTGTATTACACTTAAGAGGCTAAACAGATACTAAAATACAAGAGTTCTAATCTTAGGAAAATTAAGAGTACCAGAAAGGGAAAAAAAATCATAGTATTAAATCTTTTGGCTGGTTTATTAAGTGCAAATATGTACTGTGATCTTTTCACAAATTTTGGAAATAATAAAAAAGGATACATTCTCATTATAAAACTTAGAAAACTCATAGAATTTCAAAAATGTGTACACTTCTTGCCTTTTCTTTAAATTGTACATCTTTAAATTGTAAATTCATTAAATTGTGTATCTACACAAAAATACAGAAAACCTAGTTAGGCCCAATAAATACTTCTATAAAAGACTCTAGTGATAAAAAATTAACTAGTTAACTGACTAAAGGTATTACAGGCATACCTCGGTTTATTGTGCTTTGCTTTACTGCACTTCGAAGATATTGCATTTTTTACAAAACGCAGATTTGTGGCAATGCTGCATCCAGCAAGTCTATCGGCGCCAGTTTTCCAACATGTGCTCACTTCGTGTCTCTCTGTCACATTTTGGTAATTCTCTCAATACTTCAAACTTTTTCATTGTTATTATATCTGTTATGGTGATCTGTGATCCGTGATCTTTGATGCTACTATTGTAATTGTTTCGGGGCACCATGAACTTCTCCCATATAAGACGGCGAACTTAATAAATGCGTATGTCCTGACCGACCAGTCATTCCTCCATCTCTCTCCCTGTCCTCTGGCCTCCCTATTCCCTGAGACATGACAATATTGAAATTAGGCCAATTAATAACCCTGCAATGGTCTCTAAGTGTTTAAGTGAAAGGAAGAGTCACACGTCACTCACTTTAAATCAAAAGGTAGAAATGATTAAGCTTAGTGAGGAAGGCATGTCAAAAGCTGAGACAGGCCAAAAGCTAGGCCTCTTGTGCCAAAGAGTTAGCCAAGCTGCAAACGCAAAAGAAAAGTTCTTGAAGGAAATTAAGAGTGCTATTCCAGTGAACACACAAATAATAAAAAAGTGACAGCCTTATTGCTGACATGGAGAAAGCTCTAGTGGTCTGGATAGAAGATCAAACCAGCCACAACATTCCCTCAAGCCAAAGCCTAATCCAGAGTAAGGTACTAGCTCTCTTCAATTCTTTGAAGGCTGAGAGAGGGGAGGAAGCTGCAAAAGGAAAGTCTGAAGCTAGGAGAGGTTGGTTCATGAGGTTTAAGGAAAGAAGCCGTCTCCATACAGAAAAGTGCAAAGTGAAGCAGCAAGTGCTGATGTAGAAGCTGTAGCAAGTTATCCAGAAGATCTAGCTAAGATAATTGATGAAGGTGGCTACACTAAACAACAGATTTTCAATGGAGACAAACCAGCCTTATATTGGGAGAAGATGCCATCTAGGACTTTCAAAGACAATACTGGGCTTCAAAGCTTCAAAGGACAGGCTGACTCTCTTGTTAGGGGCTAATGCAGCTGGTGCCTTTAAGTTGAAGCCAATGCTCATTTTCCATTCCAAAAATCCTAGGGCCTTTAAGAATTATGCTAAATCTACTCTGCCTGTGCTCTATAAATGGAACAACAAAGCCTGGATGACAGCACATCTGTTTACAACATGGTTTACTTAGTATTTTAAGCCCACTGTTGAGACCTACTGTGCAAAAAAAAAGATGCCTTTCAAAACATTACTGCTCACTGACAATGCACTTGGTCATCCAAGGGCTCTGATGGAGATGTACAAGGAGATTAATGTTGTTTTCATGCCTGCTAACACAACATTCATTCTGCAGCTCATGGATCAAGGAGTAATTTTGACTTTCGAGTCTTATTATTTAAGAAATACATTTTGTAAAGGTTACACTCCAACATAAAGAAAACAAAAATCCCCATAAATGGACTAATAAACAACATCATGATAAACAGAGAAAATACTGAAGTTATCACGGATTTCATTTTACTTGGATCCACAATCAACATCCATGGAAGCAGCAATCAAGAAATCAAACGACGCACTGCATGGGCAAATCTGCTGCAAAAGACCTCTTTAAAGTGTTAAAAAGCAAAGATGTCACTTTAAGGACTAAAGTGTGCCTGACCTAAGCCATGGTGTTTTCAATCGCCTCATATGCATGTGAAAGCTTCACAATGAATAAGGAAGATGGAAGAAGAATTGATGCCTTTGAATTATGATGTTGGCAAAGAATATTAAATACACCATGGACTGCCAGAAGAATGAACAAATCTGTCTTGGAAGAAGTACAGCCACAATGGTCCTTAGAAGCAAGGATGGTGACACTTCGTCTCACATACTTCGGACATGTTATCAGGAGGGACCAGTCCCTGGAGAAGGACATCATGCTTGGTAAAGTAGATGGTCAGTGAAAAAGAGGAAGACCTTCAATGAGATGGATTGACACAATGGCTACAAGAATGGGTTCAACCACAACAATGATTCTGAGAACGATGCAGGAATGGGCAGTGTTTTCGTTCCCTTGTACACGGGGTTGCTATGAGCTGGAACCGACTGGACAGTACCTAATAACAATAACAACAACAACAACAACATGGCTGCCATATATAGTGATTCCTCTCATGGATTCGGGCAAAGTAAATTGAAAACCTTCTGGAAAGAATTCACCATTCTAGATGCCATTAAGAACACTCATGATTCATGGGAGTAGGTCAAAATATCAACATTAACAGGAGTTTGGAAGAAGTTGATTCCAAACCTCATGGATGACTTTGAGGGGTTCAAGACTTCAGTGGAGGAAGGAACTGCAGATGTGGTGGAAACAGCAAGAGAACTAGAATTAGAAGTAGACCCTGAAGATGTGAATGAATTGCTGCAAACTCATGATAAAACTTTAACGGACGAGGAGTTCCTTGTTATGGATGAGCAAAGAAAGTAGTTTCTTGAGATTAAATCTACGCCTGGTGAAGATGCTGTGAACATTGTTGAAATGACAACAAAGGATTTAGAATATTACATAACCTTAGCTGATAAAGCAGTGACAGGGTTGAGAGGACTGACTCCAGTTTTGAAACAAGTTCTACTCTGGGTAAAATGCTATCAAACAGCATCGAATGCTACAGAGAAAATCTTTCGTGAAAGGAAAAGTCAACTGATGCAGCAAACTTCATTGTTGTTTCTTATTTTAAGAAATTGCCATAGCCTCCTAACCTTCAGCAACCGCCACCCTAACTAGCAGCCTTCAACACTGAGGCAAAACCCTCTACCAGCAAAAAGATTATGACTCGCTGAAGGCTCAGATGATGGTCAGCATTCTTTAGCAATGAAGTATTTTTTAATTAAGGTATGTACATTATTGTTTCAGACCTAATGCTACTGCACACTTAACAGACTATAGTATAGTGTAAACATAACTTTTATTTGCACTGGGAAACCCAAAAATTTGTGTGACTCGCTTTAGTGCGTTGTTCGCTTTATTGCAGTGGTCTTGAACTGAACCTGCAATATCTCCGAGGTATGCCTAATATTTTGTTTTTTCATCTATGCCTCACCCAAGGGAATATTTACCAGGTAAATTATTCATTTCCAGAAAGGTAAGTAATAAGTCTTAATAGACAGTCTATCTTCTCTAATTGAAATCACTGCATTCCAAAATAAAGAGCTTCAACCACCTGGGCAAATGCTAGTATAGAGGTATAAAGCATGTTCTGCCCCTTCTGTATTCTAGACTCTGCAAACACTGGCATTACCACAGTGCAGAGAAAAAGCAAGATCATCTCAGCACATGCAGCAAAACCTGTGGTACCTTCTTATGCCACCTCATTTTGAGTTTACTTTTTTTTATGGAGAACTCAAGTTGACTAGCAGCAGAATTGCTGGGCCTAATAACTAAATAGTACATGTGAAATGCTAATAACTACATCCTTAAAACAGTATCATTATACAGAACATTGGGGAACTTGAGTTATTACATATAACTCATCCTCTATGAAAAAGATATTTTCTATTAAACTACGTTGTCTGAGAGAAAGCTTCCAAAAATGCAATTTATTAGACAATGTTCTTTCAGCCTGGCTTGCTGAATTATCTACCAAATTCTTTGATAAATTTCATCCTCTAAATGCAACCTGATGTCTGTATATATCATTCTGCTTCAGTACTGCTCCAAAAACAGCACTTGTACACAAGACTAAAAATGTCTACCAGACACCTTCTGCCCAGACTGCAGCAGAAAGACAAATGTCAGGGTCTCTATAGGCAGCTTATTTGCCTAACATCATAAAAAAAAGTTATGGTTAGTCAGGAGTAAGAATCTGATGATTTTAACTCTTGAGACTAAAAACAGCACGAGAAACAACTTTGGTGGGACAGTAACCATTAGATATTTGGTTCCATCAACCTCTTACTGGACGAATCCCCTTCACCGTTTCTGAGACTTGCTGCATCCAAAGGAATTTCCTAAGGTTTCACCCCCTACCTCAACCACAACACATGACTAACTGTGCCATAAGGCGCTACTCACAGAAGCTAGGAAGAATAGCTAGAACACTGAGCTGTGTAGCACCAAAGTGCACTCTTATTGAGAAAACCTCCCATCCATGTCTTGTTTGGCTCTAAGCAGCAAACAGCTAAAGCTAGCAGCTTGAAACCAAAAGGATCGAATCCAAAAGATTTTTCATGGGATACCTAAAAACATGCCAATATTTTTATCATGGTGAAGTTCAAAGTAGGGCTGATTTCCAATTAGCTGGCTAATATGTGAAAGAGTCAAAGAAATCAGAAAATGGCAGAAGACAATACTCATTTAAAGAAATCGTTTTCTGGCAAGGGTACCAGGAGAGGGGTCATTCAGTTGAACTTTGGTCTTGAAACTATCACAGCTACCTATATGACTTTGACTGTCACTTAGCCTCTCAGTTTGATCCTTAAAATAAAAAGGCTCATACTTATTTCACAAGACTTCTGGAATGATGAATAAAATAAGAGCTATATTTTGTGTTCCTTAGAAGAGAAACATTACATAAAGTTACATAAAGTCAAAATATATGACAACCTCCACATACATTAATATCTATAAGCACATAAACATGCCTTTATGAAAGGCAATGTTGTTCAAGGAGATTTTAAATCTTGAATTTGTAGAGAGGTATTCTGTACATTATGAAAAGGATTTACTTCACTATCTGCAAATAAATCAACTAATCCTGATCTTCAGAGCTGTAGATTTTACCATATCAATATACTAAAAACACACAACTATTAGGGAAAAAAACATACCTGCAAAGTCTATCTTGTAGCTGAATTTGGAAGTAGTAAAAGAAATGGAGCCACAAGGGTTTGTTTTGAAGCTTTTTTCGATATCTTCACTGCTAACTGAACACTGAATGTTGGTATCCGGCTTTAAGACAAACCAGAAAGTTTCATTTACCAGCTGTTCACATTAACGGCTTGGCCACAGAAGTGGTACTGTGGTCACAGAAACAGAGAATGGAGGGACCAGGGAAACTTACTAATCTGTTCCCAACATACAAGGAGAATGGCAGCTAAGTCAGCATGTTAAAAATGGTTTAAGGATCTTTAGGCAGGGCTTCAAACCAGTTCAAACTGGTTCAGTCATGGATGCCAAAGCAAAATCAGAAGAGACTCGAATTTTTAAAATTTGAGTGAAGCAGAACAATAACTGGAACAGGAAAAATTACTGGTCTTAGCCCTGGAATGGGAGACTTGGAAGAGCCATAGTGAGCCCCTTCAGGAGCCTGATAGGAGAGACTGGATTACTGCCTGGTCTGTGGAGAGCAACACACATTCAAAGTGGCACGGATGGCCACCATCTCTGAGCGGGGCACTGCTGTTTCCAATTCTGCCAGTTGAGAGATTTGGTTGCTATGCAATGTGCACACTGCCCTTGTCTTCTAAGAGGGAGACTAAGTTTCTAGCAGGGCTTCAGCTCATAATTTTTCCCGTTCTGGTTCACCCACATTTTAAAAATTCAGGTCTATTTGGGTTTCACTTCGTCACCCATGACTGAACTGGGAACAATCAGTTTGAAGCCCAGTTTTCAGCAAAGAAACTTCAATAACTGGTTTTAGTCACTTTTTCAAAATTATTACAATTTTTTACAGTCACCTTCCTAAGTGGCTCAAATTAAATCTTCTTTAAGCAGCCTTGTGAGGTAAAAAAAGAACACAAGTCTTGGAGTCTGGCTTCAAATTCCAGCTTAATCATGAACTAGCTATGTGGCCCTGGACAAATGGCTTTTCTGAGTATCACTTTCCTTGACTGTAAGACAGGGTATTAGTATCTGCCTCAGAGTTGTTGTAAGGATAAAGGAGAAAATACATGTACAGGACCTAACATAATACCTGGCATACAGAAGGTGTTTTATATGGACTTGTTCTTGTCCCTTTCTCTTTGTCCATCAAATCAAACTTGGAGTTGCTCAGATGTACTGATACCATGCAACTCTCAGTCACATTTGCCCTCTGTACACACAGTAAACACACACTGTTTCTTCTAAATATATTATTGTGAAAACCTGGGGAAAAGAAAAGGAAAAGGACTAGAATTTCTAACTTTTCTTTTTTTAAGCTATCTGATTTCCTTAAGGTTTGATTTTTTTCAGGTTGTGCATCCATATTCATTTTATACATCAGCAAGATGATGCTAAGTGACTCTACATCCCTCTGCTAAATCAAGGAGAGGAGATACCTGGAACATGTGCCACTTGCCACATTCCGCCAAGTAAAACCAGCCCCACTGGGTATCTGACGTGTCCATCTCATCCATCTCGCTATCTGTCACTCTGGAGAAGAATTCTTCTGCTTTGTGAAACATCTCCTGAAATGCTAGAAAGAGGAAGAGGAACAAATATTTCTATTAATAACTAATGTACTCTTTACAGATCATTTTTCTTCTTTACAAAGAACTATATTAAGTGTCTTTCCCACAAAGACACTTTAGAAACAGCATTCTATCTTGCATATTGGCTCTGCAGACAAATATTTTTAAATATTGAATATGATTTTTTAAAACATATCAGACAAATAACAATACTCTTAGGTGGGATATATCAATGTCCACACAACCATTTAAGTAAGCTATATCAACATCTATAGGGACTTCAAATTCTTGGTATAGCTCCAAGAAATTTCTTAGTGTATGTTCATGTATTTGGTCAAAAGGAGTCATGCTATCACTAGTTAAGAACAAATGTATCTGATTCTTGTTTTAGCATTCATTATTTCATTCAATGGCATGGAAAGATGTTTATAATACATGGTGCTGAGACAACCAAAAAAATAAAGCATGATGCAATTTTAATACAAACTACATCTATATTTACCCATGAGAATATGTGTGTATGTATATATGGGTATGTGTATATAATGTAAATATATACACCTAGAATGAAGTCTGGATGAATATACAACAATTTATCATAGTTATTTCTGTGTACTGGGATGATAATAATAATAATAGTTAACCCTTATATAGATCTTACTAAGCGCCAAGTACTATTCTAAGTACTGTATAGACAGTAACTCATTTATGCGTTATAACAACCCTATAAGGTAGGTACTATTATTACCCTACATTTATAAATGAGGAAACTGAGGCACAGAGAGGTCATACAATACGGAAGCCAGGATTCAAACACAGGCAGTCTGGCTCCAGGATCTGTGCTCTTAACCACCATGATATACTAGCTTATACTTCATTATCAATAGTTCTACAATTTTAAGTATACCGAGGAACTTATGTACACACTATCTTTGAAAAGTTTTGAATATGCTTGGGTGGAGATTGTGATGTAGAGGAGGTCACTAGGAAAGGGGTAAAGGGCTGGTCAAAGGAGATTAACTTTATCTGAAATGTGGCTTTCTGTCCTCATTCTTTAAGGTTTTTTAAATTAATAATTTAAATTTACACAACCAATACATTAAAACATTCTCCTTCCAAAAAATCAGATCATTCAGCGTAAAGCTAAAGAATTTTCTGACCACCACTTCCGTTCTCACCCTCCTTCTTCAAGGTTAACCAATACTATCAATTTACTACTATGTATCTTCCAGACTTTTCTATGTGTGTGTGTATGTGTGTGAGAGTCTATGTGTAATCATATACACACATAAGAGCATATATGCTTACTGATGATTTGTTAAAAATCTGAGTTTCTATATTTTTACAAAGAATATGCACTACTTGGGTAATTTTTAAAATACTTGTTTTTAATTTCATTATTTAAATGTACATCCTGTTTTTGTGCCTGGGATAAGATCCCATTACCTTGTCTAGGCCACAGTTTCCTCTTCATAAAACGGAGATTAAAGATTCCTTCCTTATTGAGTTTTTGTTAGAAATGAATGAGACAATGCATTAAAGTACCAAGTACAGTACCTGAGCAGAATGAAGGGGGCTTATTTTTTATTCATTTTTGGAAACTCTCTCCAAGGAATGCGTTATGATAATTTTCTGGACTTTTCCTTCATGTTTTAAAGTTGACTGGCTGCTGAGAATGAAAAATAGAACATCTTAGATCAAGAGCTTCAGGTTTAGGACCCAATATTTACCTTATATACATTTTAACCAGAAAATAAAGGCAATCATCTAAAATTTAGGATCAACTGCCCAGTTTAACTATTCACAATTCTTGTTTCCTTCTTCTATTATTATTCATATCTTTTGGCAATTTTACTGTTTGTGGAGAGAGAGAGCAAGAGTGACCTTAAATTAGTTTTTCTTCTGAAAATAATTCAAAAAATCTGGAAGAATGAGTTTGAAACTAATAGTTAAGATAAATATTTGGATTAAAAAAAAAAAAAAAAGAAATCTGTTGCCTTCGAGTCAATTCTGACTCATAGCAATCCTACAGGACAGAGTAGAACTGCCCCATACATAAGGTTTCCAAACTGCCGCTGGTGTATTCGAACTGCTGACCTTTTGGTTAGCAGTCAAACGCTTAACCACTGTGCCACCAGTGCCTTATAAATTCTATATTATCTCTATTAGAAAAGGTAATGGGAAATAGAAAAGTACCTTTTATACAGCATACCTGTAACATGTGGGCTTTGCTAAATCACATTGTCCCTAAGATCATAATTTAGGCCCATGTTACAAGTATTTTACCAAAGCCCTTTAAGAACTTCCTGTAATAAACAGCTTTGTGAGGAAGCTAAGACAGATCCATACTTATCCTATTTTAGAAAGGACAGCACTATGGGCAGGTATCAGTGTATCGAGTACTCCTAAAGCACTTCAAATTTTTATAAAATTCCTTGTCAATTTACTAATCTTTTCCCCCACAGCCTAATGTGTAGGATAAGTCATTATTCTCCAAATAGAGTCAGGAAAAAAAATAAAATAACAAAACAGAGCAGAGAAAAATAAAATTATTTTGTCTATAACCACAGAGTTAACATTACAAAGATTAAACGAACACCCAAAGCCTCCTGAGCATTAGTTCTTCCCTAAGCTGCCAAGCCTCACTGCCTCATTTTCATATATGGACAGTTATTCCTTCTCTTCTCTGTTGCCAAGGATTAATTTAATTGCTTTTCTTCACAGATGCTCTGGCTTTCTTTCAAAAGATTCATTTCACAAAACTAAAACTTACGATTTTCTACAAGTTTCTCTTCGAAGGAATGGCTATTCCATATAACTAGGCTCAAGAAGGAAGTTCAAGTTTAAATTTATAACTTTAAAATACTGTAACCATAGCAATAACGGCTCTAGGTTAGAACACATCTACAGACAATAAAAAGAATGTATGCAAGTTATCAGTCGTTGTGTAGGCATTTAATAGAATTAGTTCAGCTACTATGCGTGCCTTGATTTTCCTGTTTTTAATTGGCAGATAATGACACTTTCTGCTCTTCAGACTGTAAGAAAAAAAGCTAGTATAATGTGGCAAAGTATTTTGTAAATTTTGAAGTGCAATGGGTATGCTGGTGGAACCTGTCTGTGATGCTATCTACTCCAAAAAGAATCTTTATTTATAGAGCCTGGGGGCAGTCAGTCTGGATTATCAAATTGAATGACTATGGGGAAAATGAGTTTAAAAGTCAAAATACCCTGGTCTATACAAAGAAAATAATGCTGCCTTCTAGACTGGTTAAAAGCTTTTTGATGTTTATTAGAAGAAACACAATATAATTAATTTTGTTAGTACCTTGAGGAAATCACATCTGGTAATGAAAACTCCCTTGGTTCTAGAGAAAGAAAATCCAAAACCTGATATTAAAAGCTTAAAAACAGGCAGACAGAGTAAGGAACTCAGTGGGCCCTCTCCCCAGGAAAATAACATCTTAACTGATGAAAATTATTTAAAAAATAAAATAAAGTTTCTGGAAATTGTCCTAAGGGCATACAACAAGTGGAAAAACATCCATTCAAGAAAATCTACTAAATCTCAGTAAGAACAGTGACTCTGGCATCTGCACCATGGCCTGCTCCATTACTCCCACTCTACCAGCTCCGTGTTATGGAAGCTCCACCACTGGCACGTGCAGCCAAAAAGACAGAGGATTCTTCTCTCTCCAGCAACCAGTCTGGGGCTACAGTTTCATTCCAGGAGCAACAAACAGCTAGCTATAGGTATATATATATATACCATGCAAATGACAATCATACGAGAGGCTATACTGATATCAGAGCATTTCTCAACCCCTCCAGCCTTGAGGGGTACATAGATGATACAAAAGTTAAGTACTGGGCTATTAACCAAAAGATGGGTGGTTCACACTCACTCAGAGGAGCCTTGGAAGAAAAGCCCAGCAATCTGCTTCCAAAAGGTCACAGCAATGAAAACCCATGGAACGTAGTTCTACTCTGACACAGATGGGGTTGCCATGAGTCAGAATAGATTTGACGGCAACTGGTTTGTTTCATTATAAATACGTTCAGAGAACTAAAATAAACCATGCTTAAAGGAATGTAAGATGACAATGTCTCATCAAATGGTATCATTAAAGAGACAGAAATTATTAAAAAGAACCAAATGGAAATTCTGGAGTTGAAAAGTTCAATAACCAAAATGAACAACTCACTAGGGTGGGTCAGCAGTAGATTTGAGCTGATAGAAGAAGGAAAGAGAGAATTTGATGATACATTGATACATATTATGCAATTTGAAGAAGAGAGAAAAAAATGAAGAAAAATGAGCAGAACCTGAGAAATGTAGGTTACCATTAAATGCACCAAGATACACATAATGGAAGTACCCAAAGATGAGAAAAGGACAGAAAAAATAGTTGAAAAATTATGGCTAAAAACTTTTCAAATGAGAAACATTTATCTACACATCCTAGAAGCTCAACAAACTCTAATTAGGACAAAGAGATCCAAATGCAGACACATCACAGTCAAAATGTGTGAAAGTAAAGGACAAACAGAAAATCTTAAAAGTGGCAAGAGGAAAGCAAGTCATCACATAGAAGGGAACCCTAAGAAGATTAACAGCTGACTTCTCATCTGAAACAATACAGGCCAGAGGCAGTGTGGTGACCTACTCAAAGCACTGAAAGTAAAAATCTGTCAACCAAGAAACTATATCCAGCAAAACCATCTTCCAAAACCTGAAGGTAAAATAAAAATATTCTCATATAAAAACTGAGAAAATTCACTGCTAGCAGACCTGCCTTACAAGAAATACTAAAGGAAGTTCTTCAGGCTGAAAGCATGGGACACTAGGCAGTAATTCCAGCACACACGTACATACACATACACACACACACACAAAAGAGCACCAGTAAAGATAATTATGCAGGTAATTTAAAAGACAGTATAACTGCATATTTCTTCTTTCATTTCTTGACTGATTTAAAAAGCAATTACAAACAATATGTATTTAATTACATGTTAATACAAAATTGTAGTATGCTTGGTAATAAGGGCATAAAGGAGGTGGGTGGGAACAGCTGTATTGGAGTAAGGAAATGATACCACATGGTAATTTAAATCCACAGGAAGAACAGAATAACAAAGGATAAATAAGAAGGTTAATATAACTAACTAAATATATACTTGCTTTCCTTTATTCTATCAACTTCCTTAAAAGATCTAAGATTTTATAAAGTAAAAATGATAACAATGTATTGTTGAGTTTGTTACACATAATATGTATAACAATAATAGTACAAAAAAGGAAGGAATGGAGCAACGTAAGAGGGAAGTTTCTGTATTTCAGTGGAAGTAAGTCAGTACAAATCTAAAGTAGACTCTGGTAAGTTAAGATCTATATTGTAAGCCCTCTAAGAAAATAACTCCAAAAACTAATTTTAAAATTAATAAAAGAAACCAAAATGTTACACTAGAAAATATCTGCTTAGTAAAAAGAATGCAATAAGAGGAATAGAGGAACAAAACAAACATGAGAAATATTGAAAACAAAAAACAAAATGGCAGATGTAAACTGAACCACATCAATAACCACATTAAATATGCATGAACTAAACAATCTAATCAAAAGACAAAGATTGTCAGATTAGATTCAAAAAAAAAAAAAAGATCCAACTGATTACAAAAGACACACTTTACATTCAAAGGTACAAGTAAGTTCAAAAAAAAGGATATATATACATACATATATATATAGTACATATATATATATATATATACCAAACAAATGACAATCATACTAGGGGCAGTCCTGATATCAGAGCACATAGACTTAAAAAAAAAAAAAAACAAAACTAGAGACAAATAGGGACATTTCTTAACAAGAGTCAATCCACCAGAAAGATGTAACAATTACAAGGATATCTGTATCTAACAACTGAGTACCAAAATGCTTGAAACAAAACTGACACAATTGAAGGGAAAAACAGACAGTCCAACAGTAATAGCTGGAGATTTCAATACCCCACTTCCAACAATGAAAAGAACAACAGAAGATCAGCAAAGAAACAGGACATTTGAACACCACTACAAACCAACTAGACCAAAGGGTATCAATAAATGACACAATAACAGCAGAATACACATTCTTCTCAAGTGCACAAAGAACGTTCTCCAGAATAGATCATATGTTAGGCCATAAAACAAGTTTGAATAAATATAAAAGGACTGAAATCAAAGTATGTTTTCTAACCATGTGGAATTAAATTAGAAATCAAGAACAGAAGAAAATTTGGGAAATTCACAAATAATGTAAAAATTGAACAACAAACTCCTAAATTATCAATGAGTCAAAGAAGAAATCACAGGCAAATTAGAAAATATTCTGAGATGAATAAAACAAAAACACAACATACCAAAACCTATAGGATGCAGCTAAAGCAGTGCTCAGGGAGAAATTTATAGCTGTAAATGCCTATTAAAAAAAAAAAAAAAAAAAAGATCTCAACTCAATAGTCTAACATTTCACCTAAAGGAACTAGAAAGAAAAGAACAAACTAAGCCCAAAATAAGCAGAAGAAAGGAGATAATAAAGATTAGAGCAGAAATAAATCAAGTAGAGGATAGAAAAAATAGAGAAAATCAATAAAACCAAAAGTTAGTTATTTGAAAAGA